CTGAGCACCTGCACCGCTGGCTCCCACCACCCACATTACCACCACCTGATCCTCCTCCAGCCCTCTGATCACCTCTGAGCAGAGTCTACAGTCTACGTTGAAAAGGGAAATGGCTGCTCTTCTCCAAAAGGGCTCCCTATCAGATATCTGACCCAAACAGGGCTGTCCAAATACTTAGTTGCGGCCACTGGAAACCAACTGTAGCTAATTTAAACAGAAAACTATTACTTTTTTGTTGGTTTTTTTTTTTTTTTTTTTTTTTAAAGAAGGAAGAAGCAGCAGCACTAGACTCCCTAGGAAAGCCAGAAAGCCAGGCCTGTCAACCTCGCACACACAAAAAGAATCCCTCCAGGCACATGGAGGAGGTCCCTGCCAACAGGGCCAGGACAGGACCCAGCCTCCAAAACCCACCTAGCTGCCATGACTGAGCACCCTCCAAATGCTTCTTCCCTTCGCTTGCTTCCGCCTTCAGGTTGGGAGGGAGAGGGTGCTTCTGAGAGGCTCCTTAGGGAAAGAAGCCCTAACCAGAGGAAGAGAAGCTACTACAGATATGCTACTCCCTGTCCTGCAAACCTTACTGATACAGGTCAGCAAGCAGGGAAGGCTTTTCTTAACGCTCATGAGGAAAGAAAATCCTCAAAGCAGCAGCTAAGAAAAATCCCCACACACTGAGAGGTAATACTAAGGGCAGGTCTTTTTCAGATCATTTAGTGTTTTATTCAGTATATTCATTAGTTTAAAAAATTACAAGCTTGCCTTCCTGTGTGAAAATAGCTCATTAATAACATTTCCTAATTAAAAGAAAAACAATTTAAACCCTCAAGTAGCAAATACTGCAGAATTGTAGACCCTTCAGAAAAAAGGCCCTTAGGCCTTAAAGTCATGTGATTACTAAAATACACAACTCTATTTTTTTTAAAAAAAATGTATTTCAATGATTTTCTTCCTAAAATGAATTTTAAAAGTACATTTTGATGCTGGGCAAAATGGCACATACCTTTAGTCCCAGCCCTGGAGAGGCAGAGGCAGGCAGTTCTCTGAGACTGAGGCCAGCCTGGTCCACATAGAGACTTCCAGGTGGGCTGAATCTATGGAGTCCCTGTTGAATGAATGAATGAATTAATTAATTAATTAATTAATTAAAATAAATAAATAAATAAATAAATAAAATTTCAGCTTAAAAGAGTAATTCTCACAAGGATGTCCTAACCTGAATTTCAAAATAAGAACAGGCTGCAGGAAGACAAGAGCACCAATGCAGGCTGGTGACCAGAGTTACTACCATTTACAGTGTACAGATAATTTTACTGTTAATTTTACCTTTAACCTATACATTTTGATTTCATAAGAAAGTCTTTCAGCAATACCACTATATTGTTAACTAAAGAAATAAATCCTTAGGACCAGGATATGGTCATAAGACAGAAAAAGAGCAAGTCAGAAATACTGTCAAGCCCCAAGCAGACCTGGGGACCCACTGCAACCTTCCATACCAAACACTTCCAGCACTTGCCAGCATTTTAATCTCTCCATACCAGACATTCTGCAATCAACACTGGTATCTGCCTGTATCTTTAGAAATATATTTAAATTAGTTTACATACAGCTGTGTTACAGGCTTGAGTGTGAAATACCCCCCCCCAAATTCCTATTTCGAATGCTTGAGGCCAACTGGTGGTGCTATGCGGAAGGAGGCAGACGCTCCAGGTGATGGGGCCTGCCTGGCAGTCACTAGCCATGGGTCCTGGGGAGAGCACTGTCCTTGCCCCCTCAGGCCACATGCTGTGTTTCCTGTGCACCATCAAGCAATGGGGTCAAGCAACTACAGGCTAAAATCATGAGCCAAGGTGAATCTTTGCTACTTAAAGTTGTTCTGTAGGCATTTTGGTCACAGTAGCACAAAGTAACTAAATAAGCTGCTTTAGCCAAACATGGTGGGGCACACCTTTAATCTCAGGGCTCAGGAGGCAAAAGCAGGTCCGTCAGGTCAGCATGGTCTACACAGTGAGTTCCAGACCAGTTAGAGGGAGACTCTGCTCTAAACAGTAATAATAATAATAATAATAATAATAATAATAATAGTAAGCTTAAAGATAATAAGAGACTTGGAAGCAGGCTGAACAACAAGCAACAGAAGAGGTAACTTTCTAGAAAATTCACTAATGAGTAAACGGTTTACTAGTGAGGTTCAACTGAATGCACATATGAAAACCTTAGCAAAGCATGATACACAATAAAGTAAACATAAGATATGGTCCCTGATCTGAGGAAGGGGCAGGTATAATCTAATTCTAGAGAGGAGGGATACACAAACAAGAAGCCAGTTATACAACACAAGACAGAGCAACAAACAAACAGGTCAGCAAGGGAGAGACCAAGCATGGCTGGAATGGACACAGAGAAGCAACCCCGAACTAGGGCAGGAAGGGAGGACAGCCTTCCAAAGAGAGGAGCAGGCCTCAACTACAGAAGCCATTCTACCCACTGGATTCTTGTTCTGAGGAGTCTGCACTGCACTTAACTGAACACCTAGAAGCCCCCAAGGTTCCTGAGTAGGGAAGGAAATCCTAAGAGCAAAGATGAGGCAACTGTTGGAAGAAAGGCCAAGGAAGCACAGGCAGAGAAGGCCCACTACTTATCACAGCAGAAGCCACGGTCAGACCCAAAGTACTGGCAATGAAGATGGGATAGATGGAGGTGAGCTAGTGATGGTTAATCTTGTCAACTTGCCTAGATTTGGAATCACCTAAGAGACATAACTCTGGGTCTATCTCTGAGGGTGTTTTCAGAGATTTAATAGCAGAGGGAAGAGTTGCCCTGAATGTGGGCAGCACCAACCTAAGGGTGGGGTCCACAACTGAATTTAGAAAGCAGAATGTGAGTGGAGCCCAAGCATTCCTCTCTCTCCCTCCTATTGACACGATCCTGCTGCCATGCCTTCCCTGTCTCTTCTCACAACGTGAGACTATATGAACCCTCCCTTCCCCAAGTTGCTTTTGTAGCATACTTGGTCACAGGAATAAGAGAAGTAACACACAGCCTCTACCTCCCACTGTCAAACAGGGAAAGAGAGATAAGAAACATCTAAGGTCCCAATGAGGGTGATTAAAATTACTACAGCTTCATTAACCAAATGAACAAAATTAATTGGTCTTGATCTCCTCCTGCCTTAATTACAAAGCTGGGCCAAACAAAAGCCTATTTCCAATATCTGGCAGCACGTATTTTATTTCCCTTTATTTTCTTTTTCTCTTTTTAGTGGGCCTGGTGCTAAAACCCAAGGCCTCATTCACTGGAAGCAAGCGCTCTACCACTGAGCCATACCCCCCAGGCCTGGTTTCCTTCTCTTAACAGGATTTCATCTTTAGTTAATTATTTTATCTTTTATTTAATTCTTTCAATATAAAGGAAAAAAATCAACAGATAAAAGCAAGCCAGAAATAGTCTCCCAAATAGCTGGTTCAGGGGCCACCTCTAGGCTGCTGACTCAGGGTGGTCTCCACACCCAACCTTCCTCAACTTCAATAACGGCCACATCCTAAGAGAAGAAGGCAATGCCGTTCTCAGCCCGTCAGCCTCCCTCATAACCAGCAGTGGCATGAGAACAGTGCTACCAATACCTCGGAGAAAAAGGTTTGTGAGATGAACCTCTAGGAGGGAGCCCCTTCTTCCTAACTTGTAAGAAACATGCTCCTTCCCCCTCTGCTTTCTTCTATGGGTGTGAGGTCTACATGCAGCAACCATATTATTAACATGAGACAACAAGCCTGTGGATCAAAGAAGAGAACAGAGGAAAAAAAGATGAAAAGAGTTCAGTTCTTTAATGACATCATTAAGCAGCTGCACCAGCCTTACAACAACCTATCTCCAGACTTTCTGCTGCTACACAACAATACACCCTATTGTTTGAAGCCATTTTTGAGTATTGTTACTTACCAAAGACACTCTGACAGACCATAAAGTATGATTCCTAAGTTTCTGACAGACATTTACGCTGCTGAGTCAGCAGGATTGCTGCCCATTAATTATTAGCTACAATTAGGATGACTATGATAATGATTAAGATGAGAATAATGCAAACAGCAAAACAGGAAGACGAAGTTAATAGGAGCTTCCACAAGCGGCTGAAGATAACCAAAGACATAATGATAAAGTATAAATATGTGTGTGTGTGTATATATATATATATATAT